TTTGGCGTTCAACGCCGTTCCAATTGCGTGTAGACGGCAAAAGCTAAAAGAAATAAAATGAATTCATATTTATTATAATTTCAATGAAAAAAACACGACTTACATTATTTTGTTCAAGTGTTCGTATGAATTCCTACGAAAAAATTGAAATAAATAAATCAATTTTTATAGATTTTCTTACATTAGCAAGATTTGAATTTGGTAATCCACGAAGATATTTAGCAATAAGAAAATTTAAGCCTGGAGATGAAGCCATATTAGTAAAAAGTTTTTACATGTTGATCAATGAGTTTCTTTTTATTGCATAGCAAAAGTGGTGATAGAATAATAATATCTATGACCTAACTTATCTTGGATTGGATAGGTCATTAGAAAAGTATTAGCTAATGAGAATGATATAAATGTACTTTTATCCAATAAATTTTTAATAATTATTTAATTAAAGAAATTCACATGAGTTATCAACATGGATATGAGAAATTGATTCAGATATGTTGTTTTTGAATTGATGAAAAGTCATTGATAGATGACCGTATACAAGAGTCATCTACAGGAGTGTGATGATCTATGGGAAAATCTGAACATAGTTCATTCGGAAATAATCAGTAGAATATAATGAGATTGTTATGATGAGTAACGATATAATTGATCGTTGTAGAGTTTGTTTTCATAATTTGTTCACTGTTATGTAATTGATATAGGAAAAGGTTCATGGTGACATTCGATAATATATTTTTCACAAAATTCATTACGTCAAACATCTATTAATTATTTATTGAAATGAGATCGAATAACTAGAAGTGACTTTATAAACATATTTATTGCTTAATCTTTATCCATAGGATACTCATATTGATGTTCAATCTCTCATTTGAAATTTAATTCATTATTAATATTGATGTATTATGACCATGATGATATGCAATTTGACAATTGTCATCTTTATTCGATTAACTTCTATCATAGCATATCCAATGCGTCATATAACAAAAATGATTAGAACAAAAAAATCTTTGCCTTTATTTTTTGTTAGTTTTCATTGTTTTTCGATATAATAGTTCGATCATAATTCGATTGTCTAAATAACTATTCGCTATTCGCTAATAGGTTTTAGCTAAGTTGAATGAATACATCAATGATTATTTATGTAATATCAATTGATGAATTCTATTTCTATATTATAGTTTAGCGATTAAATTCGTTCTGTTAACTATCGAGTGTTTGACTATAAATCTTTTTTAGAAAAAAAAACTGTAGGAACGAAGTTCAACAGCTATTTGTTCTAAAAAGTAATGATAAAAGTATTCAAAGAGTTTCTTCCGTTTTGATGCATATGAAATGGAAATTAGAATTTGTCATCAATAGAAAAGTTTAATAATAAGAACGATAGATAGAAACTGACAAATCAAAGTCGACATTCATAATCAACCTTTACGTGTCGAACCAATTTTCCTTCGTGTTTCTTGTTTTCACGATTAATACCAATATGTGTTAAAGAGCAATTGTCGAATATTAGAATAGATTTTGCTAATAAGTTGAATGGTATCATTCGTTTAAAACAAAGTTTTATTGTTCTTGAATCAATTTGCATAAAATGATGGTGAACAAGAATATTTCCATTATATTATTGTTCGTTCAGAAATAGTTGATTAGGTATCTTTAAATTATCTTATAATATAGGGAAAGTGTTGTTTACAATAATCTTATTATTTAATAGAAAACTTACAAGTTTTATTGGTTGTTTCTCATTGATAACGTACTTGAACACAGAATAAGTCTGAGAGTCGGACATTCGGTCTTGAAAATGAGATTTAAATAGATTAGTTAAGAGATTTGAAATATTTAACAGTAAATATAATATTTGTGACTAGAACGGTAATTATATATAGAATATCTTTAATAATAGAACGATCATATTCGTTTTTAATAAGATGAATATAAATTGTTTGTCTTAGAATATGAACAGCGAGAGAGAAATCCTTCAGTCACAAAGAAGGCTTAAATGTTGATCATAATGGTATTGATTGGTAATAAAATGAAAGTATTTGAAAAAAATCCTACTGTTCCGTCATGAGTGTCATCTCTTCTCTTTAAATAAATAAGATTCGTTGTTGTGTCAAGGAAAAAACACGTTTCATGTTTAGTTTTGTTGAATCATACTAGAGTTTAAATTGATAAACCGTAAAACTGTTGATTAAGATTCTTCAAATATGGATAATTAGGTCAATCGGATTGATATACTCGAGAAAATCGACAACAAAAATAAGTTTTTATTCTAGATCAAACTGCATGAAAGAATCTATCTTTATTCTTGTTACATACCGAAGAATCAATCTGCATTTGAAAATGCTTTTGTTTTAATTAAAGATTAGATTTTATTTCGACTAACACATGCAACAAATAGATTTTTTTATTTATTTTAAAAGAAAGAGAATTTCTTTAATAGAATCCCCATATTATAGATTAAATAAATGATTATTTTGTCTCTTTTTTCGAGATATAAATTGAACTAAATGAAATTCTACGTAATAAAAATAATAAAATAATTTGTTCGAATTAAATAAACATAAATAAGTGATGAAGTGATTGACTCTTTTCCATCAAATGGAATTAAGTGTGGGTGTGGGTGTGAGCGGGTGTTAGTCCTCTCTTCATTAACACCCACACCCGTAAGAATGAAAACATGTCGGATAGAGTGAAGACAACTGAGTGGGATAACAAGAAACCTATCCCTCACTGTTGAAAAAAATTGATTTGTTTAAGTAATGTACTGGATTCTATTCAGAGTGAACAATTGATTACAAGAAAATTAATAACTCGCTTGCCACTTCATTTGAATGATTATAACGATTATAATTCCAGAATGATTTTTAATATCAGATTTTCTAAGTTAGAACGTTTTTTAATTTGCAATGTCTTGGATAAATAATCATTAGCGTTTTCTTCGATATTAGTATGTTTTTATCATGATTTACTGAATGTTATTAATTTAAGTTTCTTTCTTAGGCTACTATGTTTAATCAATAGTATTTTGAGGCTGTCTTTCTGCTAGAGGTTACGTCGAATGGATAGTATTGATTAGTTAGAATGTCCAAGGTAAACTATTTCGATGCTAACATGAACAAATAATTAGAATCACAGTCGTCTATGCTCTGGACGAATCTAATTTGTTTTAAGACCTTTTGCGTCACTTGTTTGACATCATTTCAAACATGCCGTAACCAATTAGATTATATTTTCAATCAGATCTGATTCAAAATAAAGCTGAAGCAGTTGAACCAAGCTCGTTTTGTATTGACAATCATATGTGCTGATTGAAAGATTTACTGTAGCCTAGTTCAAAAAATTCAAAAGTAAGCTTTCATAATATTCTCAAATGAAAAAATAGTCCGCGACATGTAGTAGTTGTGAAACTTTTTTAAACATTTCTTTCTTAAATCAGATTCATATTGTTCTATGTCACAAGAGTATAACACATATCTGTCATTATGCAACTTATAATATTTTTACTATCATATGAAATAAATTAAATGCATTCATTTCATAACATGAACAAAATATTCTTAATGTATGAAAAACTTTAAAAGCCTCGTATATGATCATGTAAATATTCATACACAATAATCAGAATAATTTTTAGAATATGGAAAGTTTGAGTATAAACTATTTGTTATGATATAGCAGAACAGGTTAAAGGAACTATTACCGATAGAAAACATTCTGTCATTATCCATCATAGTCCTTTTTATTACAAGGGTAACAATCTTTTCATTGATAGTTATTTAGGATAAAAAAAAATAGTTCCCCCAAACAAGAGTAGTGTTTGCTTGTTTCTTATCTTCCGCTAATTTCAGATAACTCAGAATTCTTTCGAATTTTCGAAAAGAGCGAGGTAGCTTTGAGTAAAGAATATTCGATTACAACGAATGATTCATCAATAATAAACCTACCAGCAAATTTTGACTCTGCTCTTGCTCGTGATCTAACAGAACCAGGTTTGAAATTTTTACTTTATGCTTAGTTAGCTTTTTTTTGTAAATAGATCCAAAAGATGATGTAGAGATAACAATTGATGGTAAAAAAGTTTTTGTACCAACTGGTAAACCTATACTAAAGATGGAATTTTAAAAACGGAAACTTTATTTTATCGACTCATTTTTTTTGTTTTTGGTGCTGTTCTTTTTTGCATCAAGTGCTATTACGAACAAAACACGCATACGCTTTTCACGTATTTTGTGATATAATACTTAATAATTCCTTATCTGGGTGCTCTCAAATCAGACTTTTAATACTTTTGCTTTATATGTCTTAATTATTTGCCAAATGACTTTTTGTGTTTTGTGATATTTTTTGAAAGAGGATATAATATTTCATCTAGGTATTTATGGATTTATTTTTCTTTTTTCTTTGAAAATAATAAATATAAGATGGTGTGGAGGTAGCTGACATCCACACTCTTTGATAATTCATTTTATTTTTCATGTATTCAATCACTTCGGCTAATGGTTCATTACTTCCTGTAGATGAGTTTTCATAAAACCAAACTATCTTAGTGAAATAATATCGGTTCTCGCGTACAATAATTTGAAAAAGCAAGAATATTTTGTAAAGCCGCGATCTGATCAAGCGCCAGCCCAGACCAAACAAGTAAGCTCAAAATCAATCCTAACTAGTCGTATTTTCAGTCATGTTCAAATTTCCACTTATTCATGGGATAGGGTCTTTTTTTCATCATTCATACATTCACAGAGCATATTGAAAGAATTTTCCAAAAATTACCGTAATGGACTGATAATTTACCATAATTTGTGGGTCTTGGTACATGACTTCGCTACGATGGAAATTTCCACTGCTGAAGGAATTTCCTTTTATGGAAATCTAAACATATCTAATATATGGCCGTTTACGTTGTCCTATTACTATCTGCAGAATTATGAAACATATCAATCAACATGGATTCGTCCTGAGGATCGGATCGGATTATGGCCTCATACCTGGACTCATGCTACGGTCTGGGTAGGATACAGCTCACTAATTAGAACTACTAAATCAATAACTGATGATATTGATTCATTACTTATGAATTTAATATCATGCATAAAACTATTTATTGGTGATAATTTTCTTAAATTTTTATCCGTTATTTCATTTTGAACATGTTCAGATAATGATTTCATAAAACGTTGTCGAACAAATCCATCAAGAAAAAGACTAAAACCATGATTAATAGCACGACAACAACATTGTATAGCTAATGAATCATGACAAATGCATCGTTCTTTGACTTGTGTTGTATAAACAGGTCGATGTAATTGTTCTCGAACGCTTTGATGAGCAAAATCACCAATACCAATACGACGAAATATTGCAGCAACTAAAGCTTCAAATGAACAAACACGAAATGAAGGTCTTGCCGATTGTTCTCCGCCAATATTGTCTTTGGATATAAGCCAATTAAGAAGATAAGTTGTTTGATCACGTTCAAATGCATTGCAAAATACTATAATTAGTTCANCTGGTTTAATTATTGTAAAATATTCTTGTTTAATACTTTCAATAAATGAATATTTCATAATAGCTATTTCAACTGGATAATAATCACCACCATCTTCATCATCAGTTCGACAAAAAATTTGAAATGTTACAAAAAATAAATTTCTTTTAAATATATCAATAAGATCAATAGAAAAATATGAATTCAAAAATTTATTTTCATTACTATTTTTTTCTATAAATGATACCTCTTCACTCGATGGTATAACAGATGTTATAATATTTTCATTATTTAACATACGTGTACGTTTATATTGTTTAGCTCAACTATGAAAATAAATAAGTAAAAACTTGTTTACTTTTATTTATGTTTTTAAAACTTAATAAAAAACATACTCTTCATAAAGTTTTCTTTTAACAAGTGTCATTGAACGCCAACGTGGTAATAAAAGTATAATCAAATCATGAATTGACATTCGTGAATAAGCCGGATAAAGTTTCCGATGTTCATCAGCCAAATAATAAACACTTGTTCTATTTACGTGTTGTTTTTTCTTAGGTGATATTGTTTTGTTAAAACACAAAATACGAATAGATATATAGAGATTTGTTAAATATATATATATATATTTTATTCTCAAAAAAAAAAAAGAATAATTTCGTTAATAAAATTAATATTTTTGACGTATTCATAGAAAAAAAAACATTAATATTCCATCTTGGTGATCATAAAACTCTAAAAATATGGAAATGTGATTGCGGTGGATGATATACCATTGAAAAATAATTCATAGCTTCGTTGAATTTCCAGAAAAATATAACGGCAGATACAATTTAATGTACGAATAAGAATGGAACAGCCTGTTGAAATATTCAAAGAAAAATATAGGAGTATGATAAGAGTAAGTGAAGAATTTAGAAAAAAGAAAAGAAATCATATTGAGACTTAAAAATTCTTGAATTTGATTTATTATGCAAACACATGTGTCATAATAGGGCATTATGTTTATCAGTCGTTGAATTCGAGTTATTTGCATTCCGCAAATACGGACTAAATTCTTTTTTTTCTCTTTAAAGAAATTTATGATTTAATATCGTAAAAGAATCGAAGCCAATTGAATGAACATGCAGTTGGTGTATGGGTATAGAAGTGCTCCGAGGTTGCGAGCATTGGAATTAGAGTTAAGCATTTTTCTGAGAATTGGTGACGGCGAATAATGAATAAAATGCTAGAGCTTTACTGGAGGAAAACGAAAATTTCTCAAGATTGAGGGTTGGAGGTGACACTCCTTTATTCTCTTCCCCGCTTGAGACACCCTTGTATCAGTATAGATCTATTGTATACGCCTATACAACGAATAATGTACTTTTTAAGGTCTAAGAACAACAATGTTGTTTTTTTAATATCGTTCATCACTATAACCTTGAGACAGGTTTTGCATGTCTCTACTATATGTATATACAAGTAACACGTTAATATAATACTGTTTTTGAAGCATGATTATGCCACTGAATATCTGCAGAATATTTTACATTTTATAATCGAATGGGATTGTTTTAAGTTTTATTATAATCAAGTATTTTTTCTCAATAATTAACTTATCAATAAATATATTCAATAAAATGACGTAGACCGTAAGGACGTCGATGATTGTTTTTATTGTCTTGTTAATTAAATTTATTCTAGGACTTTTTTTTATTTTACATTTGTATAAAAAGCAAAGAAAATAGACAAGAATCGATAGCAGATGTTTGATGATGCCTGTATATAAAATACTTATTTATATTCATTTGAAATGTGAATATGAATATCGAAAAAAGAATCGGTATAGCCAAGAATATTGTAGAATGTTTTGTATGATAAAATTTACTCTTTTCTTTCGTGTTATTTTACAACTGATTCAAATCTATTGCGCAGGTAGGAATAGTAAAAAAAAAAACGGAAAAGAAAAAAGTCAATCTATGAATATTTCATATCACTATAAAGATTGAACTAAATATCAATGTAAAATTAAGTAATGTAGGACAATTATAAGATAGATAATCATCTTAAGTCATTAGTGTCTTAGTTAAACATTAATGAAATAATTTGCAAATTATTTAACTAATGATACTGCAATGACTTCTATGATATATGTGTACATCAACACTATCAGCTTTATCTACAACTGCAGTAGACATAACTATGCAATATAAGCTTTCAAATTCATAGTCAACAAATTCAAGAGATAAATCATATAACATAACTGAATTTCTTTCTTGGCAAACTGCTGTTACAGACTCATCGTCAATACGAATTCAACAATACATAAGCCATTAAATAATACTAATGTAACGAATCCGTGATGATTAGACTGGTGGCCTCAATGACCAACAAGTTTTGCACTCATTGAAAATAACACTTTTCTAAAAAAAATGTAGTCAATTTTGAAAAGTAATATTATCATTATTATTATTCTCTGTACAAAATTACATAATAACAATAAATAAAGAATTTTTTGAGTTAAGCGAAGAGAAAAAAGAAAAACACTTTTTATCAAAATAATAAAAAAAGAAGAAGAAAATTTTACATTGGTGTTGAAATAATTCCATCACTATTATTCACTTGTTGTTCTTGTCGTTGTTCATAAGGCAATTCTTCATACGATGGTAATTTACCACCAGCATTCTCTATATTAGTTACTGCTTCAGCATATGCTGGTGGCAAATCTGGTTTAAATTGATGACGTTCAATAGTAGATATTTGAGGTCGAACAGTAGCTGAATGACGATTAGAAAATGATCTATTCGGAGAACGAGATTTACACAACATTAAACATATACGAAGAATACCAAGACCAAGTGCAATACCAGCCAATATTAAAGCAGCACGTTTTAAATTATCACTAAATGAATCTAAATCACCTACTGGTCTACTTTTTGATGTTGAATCTTGACGAAATGCTGATATAGTTAGCGATGGGGTTACACGTTGACGGTTTATTTGTGGTGTTTGATTTTGAGAATATGAAGAAGATGAAAATGAATTAGATAATGAATTATTTGGAATGAGAGTACAATTTTCACGTAGAATACTACATCGTATACTTAAGACAGATTCTTTAATAGGACCGCATACTGTTTGTGTGACAAGAATGAAAAATAAGCAAATTAATTGCTTTTTTGGATGTTGGTGTAACATATGCATGATAAATGTGTCTGTTTGATACGCGAACGTGGAGTCGTTTTTATCCTTTTGTCTACTTCTTTTGCTCTTTTTTTGTTCTAACTAAACGACGAACGACTTTTACTTTGTGTGTCACTATGCTGATGACAACTCAGTATCATAAAGGTATCTTATATTGACTCAAACTCGATAAAATGAGAGAAAAGAAACAACAGCTTCAAAAGGAGTAACATATTGAAAAAAAAAATGAATAGAGAGAGAGAGAGAAGAATAAAAAAAACGACAAACGAGAATCTTCGATGAATATCATTATCAATCCTTTTAGTGAAAATGTTCTCATTTAAAATTATGTAATCGCTTTTGTTTTGTCATCTTGACATATTTTCAATATGTGCAATGATTTATTATTTTATTAAAAGTATTACAATTATTGATCGATATATATCACTGAACATATTTTCTTTTCTTTTGCGAAATCTTTAAAAATTTTCATGCTTATTTCGATCGCATTGTATTCGAACGACGAATTGTTTTCGAACTAATGAATTTGTTTTTAGAACCATGGTAACGTTTTGTTGTTGAAGGTACAACAGATATTTTTTCAACTTGTTGATCACGTGATAGTATTGGTTGTTCATCAATAACGATAGATGTAGATGGTTTTTCTTCATTAATAGGTGTAATTCGTTTTAACTTTTGCTCTTGACTATTATCGATCATTTGCTCGGCGACTACGATAGGATAACATTTTATATACATGTATATACTAATCAAGAAGAAAACAAAACAAAACAAAAAAGAAAAATACTCGAAGGCGTATTTTGTTCGATCATATTAGTGTTTAATTCATCATTTGAAAATTGTTTTGATGATATATCTCCATTTATCATTCGTTCATAGGCACGCTGATTATCGTCACACATGTGCAAATCATCTTCGGTTCGTAATGGACTACCGAATTTTTTTTCGAGCTTTTTCTGTGCCTAAAAAATAAACAGCATAAATGATTTGTCTAATCCAATCAATTCATTAAAATAGATATTCAAGCTTAGAAAGGTAAACAACGAAAAAACTTTACATCGACCAATAAACTGGTTCAGCAATAAAAGCCGGTTCAAATTGTTGCCAATAGATATTTAAGGAACTTTTAACAAAATTTTCATCATAATCAAATTTATAAGCAGGATAACGTCGTGTTAAACGATACCAATTCTAGCTCAAATGATAATAAACATGAATATGTTAATATACTCTAGAAAGAACATACTTTTTTAACATCATTTGTATAATATCTTTTTAATTGAGATAAAAAACCTGGATTTGGATGAATATAACCTCTAGCACCTTTAACAATTTGAAGAGCTTTTTCAACATCATAATCTCCAATAGTCATAACATAAGCTAAAACAATTGTTGCACTTCTTGATACTCCTGCTTGACTATAAACATGAAAAATATAAAGTTCATTATTTAACTGCAAGATCTCTTTTTTTTTATACCAATGAACAAGAATATTTTCATGTTCGATTCTTGCTTGATGAATAAATTCAATACATTTTTCAAAATATTGTGCAAGATCTTGTCCTTGTATATCAGCTGCTTGAATATTCAATATATGTGTTGGTTTATACTCTTCTTTGTCAATAATTATATCTGGTATATCGATAACGCATAAAATACGTTTCACTTTATTTTTAACCATCAATGCACTATTGGTTCGATCTTTTAATGAACCCAAATAGAGATGTGGTAAAACAAGTGACATTTCACCACCCATATTAACTGCTCGTAGTTTATTGTCAACCTGGTGATGATAAGATGAAAATCATAAATAAATAAAATCGAAATAAAACTTTGTTTTTGTTATATATTTAATCGAAAAAAATGAATTGATTAGTTTTTTTTATTCTTGTAACTAAGGAAATATCAAGTTATGTTTACATTGGGATAAATACCTTGCGATCCAAGTAGCGTTGAGAGAACGGCATCGTATGTCTGTTGTGCTGCAGTGTTCTGTCGGGAAAAACAAGAAAATGACACAGCAAGTTTGTAGGATAAATCAGTACATTTTTTGGAGAAAAATACGAAAGGTTGCATTAATCTTTTTTCTTGTTGCTGATGTCAAAGGCGACAAATGATAAAGACGACGGGGCAAAAAAAAAGAAATTAGGAGACTTCGGTCTATATTGAGTCTCATTGATGCAACAGGGTATTTCTTCAATATTTTTGTTTTAATGTATATTCACATCATTCAAAGCTATAATACATTGTTTTTATCAAATATAGAAAAAACAAATGATAAATTGCATAGCAAATTATTCTTTGCGTAATATTCTTATACATATAATCGGTGAGAGAAGATTATTTTAATTTAAAAAAATTCATTTTGTTTCTATCATGATTTGTTTTTTTTTTTCTTTTGAATCTTTCGTAGATATGTAAAAAGTAGACAAACAAATTACACTTAGTATACAACAAGATTGATGTTTGACTTTTTGTTTTTTTTTTTTTGGTCTTTTGTTTTTTTTCTTTTTTTCTGCCGTTCGTATGTATGATCGTCGTTGTAGAACAACACAAAAAAAAAGAAAAAGAAAATAGAAGATAGGAGAAAGAACGAGCGATAATGAAATGAAAGAGATAGAAAAAGAGAAAAAGAAGGAAGATATAAGTAATCGGTCTATGCCATTGCCCGTTTGTCAACAATCTACACGCACATGCACACAGACGCAATCGAGATCCGAGACTATTCTCACAGAGTAGCGCATAAAAGGCACATAAATACACACACACCACACAGCTATCGGACCCTGAGATATGCAGAAGGAAAGAGAAAGAGAGACGATTGACTAGCGAATTGTGGCCGGGCCGTCTGCTGTTGTTTTGAGAGAAGAAAGACATTATCGACTCGTTAATATGCGTGTGTGTGGATGTGCGTTTAAAGAAGATCCGTTGTTTCATCACTCTAAATATAAGAAAAAAAAAAAAGAATTATTTATATAGGAAAAAAGCAATAACAACAGATGGCATTTTTACCTTGTGCTGGACCCGCCAGCGAAATATTATCGCAATTATTTTGTTGTTGTGTTAATGCTAAAGATTTCGGATCATTCTCGATTGTTGCTATTTGTTTATCAGTATTTGATATATTTAATGGACGGGTTTGACGATATTGTTGATTTGATGTCGAATACATAGCCATACGAGGTGTTGTTGTTGAACCATTTGGTGATTGTACCAATGGTCGTCCCATAAAATTTCGTTGTTGATTTGTTGTTGAACCATTTGAATGAGTAAAACGTGTTTGTTGATTATTTATTATACGTGTTTGATAATCATCATGTTGGCTTTGTAAATTTAATGTTGATAATTGATTTGTTACATATTGTACTGATGTTCCATTATTATTCATATTAGGTTTTCCTGTTGTTGCTGCTGTTGTTGTTGGACCATAAGTATTATATGGTACATTATTATCGAATGTTGGATAAGTGTGAACATTACCTACAGTTTGAGGAGGAGGCATCATAAAAGATGGTGCAGGAATAGTACCTAGATGAGAAAAATTGTTTTATAAAATAATAGAAAAATACTTTTTTTTCTTATGTAACCTGGTTGAACAAATGTTGTTTGTGATGGGGGAGACGGTTGATAAGTTGCTGGGGCAAATGGATGTGAAATGTTACCTGGTGTACCTGTTGGAAATATTCGAACAAAAGGTGGTGGTTGCGGAGCAAGATTTGACTGTGACGGTGGGACTTGTGGTTGGGGTTGTTGTTGTTGAGAGATTGCATGATGATGGCAAGGTTGATTTTGAGAATATGGATGATGATGAGTATGATTAGTGTCAACAACTGATGGTTGTGGTACTGTTGGTGGGCCCGGTATAGATAAAGCATCTGGTCGATAAAGCTTTTGAAAAGCAAAAACAAAAAGGTAAATGTTTTGTTTTGTGTTATATGGTTAATATTATTTTGAATATTTACCTGAACATATTGTCCATCAGGTGTTAATGAATAAGGATTTGTCGGAGGTGGAGGTTGTGGTTGTTGTTGTAAAGGATGAGCAGGAAATAGATATTGTATTTGTCCGGTTGGTTGTTGATGAACTAATATAGGCAATGGAATACCGCCACCATGTTGAGATGGCACTTGATTTGGAGCCGCTGTTGCTCCTGTTGCTGTTGGTGGTTGAGGATGTAATTGTTGTGTTTGTTGTTGTTGTGGATGAATAAAAGTAGATGTTGCTGAAGATATCATTGGTACATAATTATAAATATGTGCTCCGCTTGCTTGTTGTTTATAATCATAATCAACAGGTGGCTGTTGTGGTTGAGTATAAAAAGAAGTAGTAGCTTGTGGACGTAATGGTGTTGTACTAGGGTTCGATCCTACCATGGAACCATAAATTGGCGGCGGTTGAGGGATACTGAGATTTGCTGATGGTGGTTGTTGGGTTGGATAAATAGATGGAGCTAAACAAGATAACATATTAGCAAATGAATTCGGTTATGTACTAAATAATAAATGAAATTCATTTTTTTCAATATTCGGGCTTAAGTGTTCAGTAGAGGATACGAGGTTTTCATAATATGGTAGTAGAAAAATTTACTATTATCTTTTATTATCATGCTTACGATGAAAATCTTCTAAGAATATTTTCCAAAGATTATCTTGAAAATTTTCGTTGAGAATTCTATCACTACTTTTTATATATTTTGGTAAAGCAAAAGTTTTCTTTTGTTCTCTAAATATTTACTTCTAGTTGTTGAAGTATTAAGCATATGACTAGATGGATCAATTGTTTTTCCAGTTGGATACTGTTGCATATGGGTATTAGTTGTTTGTTGTAAATGTTGATATGTATAAGAACGATGTTGTTGTGAACTGTTCTGATGTTGTTGTTGTTTTCGATAAGATGGTCGAATAAAATTAGAATGTTGTTTTTGATTTGTTTTTGCATTTTTATTTGTTATCGATGTATTTGAAAAATCTGTTGTTTCATTAAATATTCTAGCACGTGTTTCAGCATAATTATTTACACGTTCTAAATATGGTTTTATTAATGGTTGATTTTTTGTTGCTGAAGATATCTGTTGATTTGCATATTCATCATTATGACCATTTCGTTGAGAATGTTCATGATTAGGATGTTTATCATGTCGACGTAAAATACGACGTGTTGGAATTTCAGTTGAATTTGTTAATGATATTGAATTTTCTGTTGTTGAAGCACCACTTATTATATCGGTTGATTCATCTTCTGGAATGCATTTTTGAAATGAAAAATTAGGGCTAAATAGAAAAAGAATATTTTAGTTGTTTTGTTTTCTTAAAGATAAATTGAATTTTTTTATACATTCGAGTATTCGGTGTTTTAGTAACAACAACAGCTTGACCATTTTTATCCACATTATGATCAAGACCAAAAAATGCTGCAACACGATGAACAATCATTCGTTCATCTATTAAGAAAAGAGCGAGAAAAAAAAGTAATACGAAGAATTTTTTTATTTTTTTATATTTACATGAATTCATTGCTTGAAATTGATGGGATTTTTGTTCATCAGCTTGAATAAATTGTTGAAAAAGTGTTTCAAGTGTTAAAAGTAATGCTCGATCTTTTGGATTATTACGTAATGTTGTTGTAATAAATGATTCTGTATCAACACCTGAAAAATCTTTATATGGAACAGTTGTACTAACATTATTATTATTAGATGTATTTGTATTATTAACACTTGATCCATTATTTATTGATATATCAATTTCATCATTTGATGACGATGATGGTGAAGCAACAGTTATAGTCTCCGTTGTAACCGTAATATTATTATTATTATTATTATTATTAATATGCCCATCTTCATCACCACCTGATGAATGACGACGATCGTCGCTATCACCAATCTAAAATATTGTTAAGTGCTTTTAGATTTAATAGATATTCAATTTATAAAGAGTATATCCATATCAAGGTAGGATTAATTGATCAGATTTTAATAGAGGAACACAATACGATGTTTAGAAGTATATTCAAAGTTAATAGTAGCTATATCAATGGTATGAAGGAGGAAATACCAGTAATACTCAAATGCTCCTCTCAAGCTAGAAATGTCTCAAGGGACACAGAACACATAAAAAAAACAAAATCGATGAACCGAAATAACTTCTTTTTCAGTACCTGTTGGATCATCTCTGGGCTTCTTTTTCTTTTTCTTTTTACTCAAATCGAATATTGACTAAATAGAAAATTATCTTTTTATCTAAGAATTATTCAANAAAACCAGAAAAAAAAAGCAATAGGGTGAACGGAGGGACGTTGTGGGGGGGGGGGGGGGGGGGGCATCCTTGAATAATAATGAATAATCTTTCTAAGATTTTAAATTAGAAAAAAAAACGTCATGCGTCAGATAATGTGTCACATTTTAGAACTAAGATGTGTTATAGCAATTAAACAATCAATACTTAAATCGACTTCTCAAAATCAAAATAACTATTACTCAATGGAATAAATATGCTTAATCATTATGAAAAACTTACGCTTTCAGATTTCTCATCCGTTCCATCCTCAATAACATCACAATGTTCAGACGGTAAAATAATACCTACAAAAGAAAAGAAACGAATCAAACAAATAATATTCATTAATATTTTTTTCTTCTAACCATCATCAATATTAGCCGTTGTATTATTATTTTTATCAGGTTTTGTCAATTGTACTGCCATTGATGATGGCACACAACATGAATCAACAATTTTAGCCATTCCAAAGAAAGAAAAAGAAATTCTTGTTTTTTTAAATTTAACTATTATTATTTCAAAGTATAATCTATGCAAGCACCATCAACACGGTGTATGGAAGAGATACAAAAAGATGATCACATGAAGTAAAATTGTAACTAAACAGAACAAATATATATATACAAATATTTCCTTCTTTTTGTTTTTTTTTAATGTCTACCTGTGCGTTTCGATATACTTGACTTGAAAAAAAAATACTTAATAAAATGTACAAAACAACAGCTAATTGAATAAAGTGTTGTATAGAAAAAAATTGAAAACTAAGAGAAATATCTTGTTGATGAACTGATTTTGTGTTTAAGAATGAAGTATAGAAGAAGCAAACAAACAAATTGGAGAAAGAACGATAAAAAAAAACAATATGTCAACAATTGAAAATAAACAATTTAATTTATTGGTTTAGTTGATAAAAATAAAAAATTTGATTTTCTTTTGATGTTTTTAATAAGAAATATGCGAAAATTTAATTTAATTTTTAATATTTTAATTAAACACGTCGCTAGATATTTATCTTGAAATTGAAATAATATAAAAACAACAATATTGTTCAATTTTAATTAATAAAATATTTTATTTTTAGCAAAAAAAAATTATTTTCAAACATATAATAATAATCATTAGTATTATAGAGGTCAGTAGTCAATATGAATGGTTTTTTCCTATTAAACCAATAAAAACCGTTCCTTTTATTGCATCAGAAATCAGTTTTTTATATATTACGAAATTGACAAGAACTAAACAAGTCTATTGAGAAAAACAAAAAAATGGCTGACGAAGGAAATCCACCTGATGATGTGAGTTTTATTTTTTTTGAATAATTCTTAGATAAAAAGATAATTTTCTATTTAGTCAATATTCGATTTGAGTAAAAAGAAAAAGAAAAAGAAGCCCAGAGATGATCCAACAGGTACTGAAAAAGAAGTTGATGAAAATGTTTCAAATGAACAATCAACAACAACAACGAAAGAAAAAAAAAGTAAAAATGTCGCTTTTGCAACAGAATCATCCAAAGTAAGAAAACACTAAAACATCGATTTTTGGATTTATTTTTGCTGATAAATTGTTATTTAGAATCAAGATAATGTAGCTGCTGAACAAGCAACTGGTGCTGCTGCTGGTGAAGAAGATGATGATGATGATGTTCTTGCACTCCGTAAAAAGAAAAAGAAGAGACCACCAACTCGTGATGCAACTGGAGCCACTGGTGAAGGTGATATTCAAGTAATTTTAGTCATTGGGTTTCTATAATGGTATAAAACAAGTTTTTTTTTCTAGAAAGAAACTGCAGCCGGTACAGTAGGAGATGAAATAACTAGTGACGCAACATCAGTACAAGGCGAATATACCTATGAAGATGTAAGTCAAATTAAAGATAGAATTTTACACCGAGATGTTTAACGAAGACAATAATTTAAATATTAATACCATTAATTGATAATAAGTCTTAGGAACATGCTTATTCAATATTGTTCTTTTATTTTCTAGTTACTAGCTCGAGTATTTAATATCATTCGTGAAAAAAATCCGAATGTAATTGACGGTGAAAAAGTCAAATTAACTCTAAAACCACCACAAGTAGCACGTATTGGTACAAAACGTACGTCATTTTCTAATTTTGGTGAAATATGTAAATCGTAAGTTATATTTTAAATAAAAAAATAAACTTGAGAAAAAAACTTAAATTTTTAGTCTTAAACGACAAGAAAAACATTTACATCAATATTTACTTGCTGAATTGGGTACAAAGTAAGTTGAATGAATGCTCTTTTTTTTCCTCATTTTAATTTATCTTTTTAGTGGTTCAATTGATGCTAATAATGCATTAACTATCAAAGGACGTTTTCAACAAAAACAAATAGAAAATGTACTTCGATCATATATCAGTAAGACCACTTCATTGAAATTAAAACAAATGTCTTTTTAATTTTATTCTTTATTCTAGAGGAATATGTTATTTGTAAAACATGTCGTTCACCTGACACATCGTTACAAAAAGAAGAACGTTTATCAGTACTTTTATGTAATAATTGTCGGTCGCGTTATTTTGTTTCTGGTATCAAAACTGGTTTTCAAGCACAAGTTGGAAAACGTGCAGCAACACGTGCGAAAGCAACATAGAAAAAAAGAAAACATTGTCTCTTTTTTCTTGCTCTTGGTTATTTTTCCTTTTTTTTTCTGTTGTCTTGAATTTGATGAGTACACTTTTTATTTAAATAAAAGCACAACATGAGGAAAAAAAATTACACATCAGCCAATATTCATGTTCTGATTGCAGATGAATAAGTATTTGAAATGTTGTTCAAGATTGATTTCTTTCAATAGGAAAAATCGAACAATTTTATTCAGTTTTCAACGTTTTCAACATATATCGTAGGTTTATTTTTAGCAAGAAAACTAGTTTATCTATTGGATAATTTTAGATCAACTAGTGCAGTTACATTAGCTGAAGATGTATATAATCCACCGAGAGGAGCGACTGATCCAGAGCGATGTCTTATTATCACGTATGTATATTTATTTTTTCTGTGAATAAAATATTTTGTGAGTTAAACTGAAAAAATATTCACAACAAGAAAAATCTAATGTAAATTATGTATCTTACAGCTCATTACATATTGATTCGTGAAAATCAAATTTCAAAAACTCGTAGTTAATTAAATCTTCATTTTTACTTGTACAGATGAAAGCAATAGTAATTCGGTTAGCTGATCTTGAAGTTCTACGATTTTATTTTTTGAATGAAAATAAGCGACTTGTATCCTATTCTAGACATGGTCTTTTCGGTTCTCGTACAAATTGGAGATCATTAGCAAAAGCATTTAGTTATCGAGCAAATATTAAAGTAATAATACTAATTCAATATTTTCATTATTTCCTGAAATATTTTTCATTCTTCAAATATTCAGGTAGTAACAGTGGATATGCGTAATCATGGTAGTTCTCCATATATAACATCTATGACTTATTTCGATATGGCTTCTGATTTAATTCGAATTATCGAAAAACATAATATGCCAAAAACAATTTTAATGGGTCATAGTATGGGTGGTAAAGCATCGATGCTTGTTGCTTTAGAAAAAGTAAATATTTAAGAAAAAACGTAGCGTTGTTTGTTTTTCCTTGTTAGTTGTAGCCGAAACTTATACAAAAATTGATCGTAGTTGATATTGCACCAACAATAAGTGCATCTGCAGTAGAGATGCCGTCATATATTCCAATTTTACTTGATAATCTACATCGAATACAAAGTGAAAAAGATATTGCTGCAGCAAGACGTGCTATGGATATTATATTACAAGCATCAGCTGAATCATTACGACAGGTTACTGTCAAATTTCATTAGAAATTTTAAAAGAGAAAAATGAAATATATGTGTTTTTATTATAGAATAAAAATGTTCGTGATTTTCTTTTAATGCTCATTGCTTATGATCAATCGAGTGGACAGTTTGTGTGGCGAGCAAATTTAGAAACTCTTGAAGAATATATGAATGATATTATGCACTTTCCAGCTGAATATGATAATGCAACAACTGATGTTGAAACGTTATTTATTGCTGGAGAAAAATCAAATTATATTAAGTATTGAGATATTTTCCTTTTACTGAGATCTAGTTTTCTTAAAATATTATATTTTAGTGATGAAACAATTCCTAAAATACGACGTTTATTTCCTTCACATCGTCTTATTCGAATTCCGAATGCTGGTCATTGGGTACATTCAGAACGACCTTATGATTTTTTAAATTGTGTTTTGCCTGAATTAGAAATAAAATAAAATATTTCATATCAACATTATTTTTTACTAAAACAGCTGTGATTGAGAATTAGACATCTATGTCGTTTTATGTTTTTCGTACTAAACATGTCTTGTGTTGTATAAAGTGGAGAAGAAATGTTACTCAATGTGCAACTTTCTACAACCAAAATATCGTATTATTACTGAAAAACAAGAGTCGAGTCGCAATCCATACTCCTCGGTTTTTATTTACCAGTTAAAATGCGCATCATTATTTCAATATGTTTCAAATCAATTTATTTTCTATTTTTGAAAATTTAACTATTTTTTCACGTCATATCCCTGTATTACTATTCTACTTTGTTAATTAACCCAACAATTAACCTTTTTGCAGTTTACTTTTAATAATATTAACACTAGGAATAGAACAAGATTTAGTATCTCACTTCTGCTGGTACCATGTCTGTTAAAATTCTTTTCGCTATTTTCAATATTAAAAGTACTCAAAATCTTTCGTACTTTCGATAACATTACTGAAAGTGATGGACGGTATATTTTCATACGAACAGTGAAGTACAGTCTTTTATTTCATTGATTCTTTCTACATTGGCAAAGCAAATCAGCTATTGTCGAAGTTAAGTAGACTTGAAAGGAAATTAGGGGAACATTATTCACTGCCATAGATAATGAAAGATACGCCAACGTTGGAAATACAGTGTAGCAAACAGTATCAAAAATCTTGCAATACAAATGCATCATACACAATGTTCAGGTTTAACAGAGTCACGACAAATAATACAGTACTACCGGGTAACAAACAATAACAACAACGTCTAGAGCAAGAGATGAAATTTGTGACAAATTATCAACTCGGACAAAAGATGTCATCTCATACGAGTGATATTACTAAAAAAAATTGCGTTCTGAATTTGTATCTAATCGAAAGCGAAAGTGTACTTTTCACATATGTCTCTTTTGTTTTTTTGGGTCAGTTTCAGCGCATTAAGAATATTGAAATCGATGCTTGCCGAGAAAGCAATAATGTATTCACCTTTTATTGTCAATAAATCATTTGTTTCAGGGCCATAAATCAAATATAATGAATGGAAAAAGAAATCCCTGATTCTTGCCTCGGAAGTGAAAACTCGAAGATCACTAGCCGTGTAATCTCTTCTACTGTGTGTCAATTCTTACACAGGTATTTCTATTGGATAACCGTGTGGGATGTGAACGAGTTCTCTCGTTACCCACATCCTGCATCCTCAATCTCACTTCATACACCTTCAAGACATTTGTTCGAGTAAAAGAAATGTTTTTTCTATTTTTCTCTCTTTTGGAAAGGGTTGTGATGTTTATCATATAGATAAGAAAAAGCAATGAGAGAAAAATTCTTTTACTTTCAACAGAGAATATATTTGATCCATTTTCATTTTGTCTTTCACGGTGACATACACACACACACACACACACACCAGCTAAGTATGTTTTTAAAAAATAATAACAACGCTTTCTCTTCATTTCCTATGATTTCTTCCTTAATAAACGCCCTTTTTGCCAATTGTTTGTTCGAAATTACAATTTGAGCGAAACCGTAGCAGGGAAATTTACTTTCGATATAAGTGGGATGAGGATGTAGGATTCCAATGATGACAAGAGTGATATTGTCAATGTGGATGAGGTGTGAGCGAGGATAGTAACAACGCTCTTAGTGAAACTCACATTTTCAATGTAGCACGATGTGGGTTTGGTTGAAGTGCAAGTGTAGCGGTGCAGTTCATCTATCTATCCATAAACCTACACACACATTCTTATATGACCTTCTTAAATAAGTGTATCGAATTGTTGTCTCATACGAGATTTTTTCGTTGAGAGTAAATCCTTGAAAGAACAGAAATTTATGTTTTCACAAAACTTTGCTTTTCTCTGTTGTGTATTTTGATTGAAGCTTACTATAATCAAAATGTGAAACATCTTTTGATATTCTAGTTCCGTAATGCGAAATTCGGTTCACAAAAATCTCTTGTTTAGTTTTCCAGACCAAATGACCTAAACTCTAATTAAGTACTTTTTCATTTTTCGAAATCGCATTGGTAGAGTCAAAATGTGAATTAAGATTTTTCTCTCAAGGCTTTTCCAGTATAAATTAATGTGTGCATCGATGATTTTCTAATTACCAGGGAGAATCAATTTCATATTACATTTATAGATTTCATCTATAATTCGGAGTACATATTAGCAAAACTTCAGAAGTTCAACTTGGAATACTAGATCACAAGGAGCAATATGAAAGTATCTGGATCAGAGATGAGCACAGGACAAGATTTTCTCTCCTGTCCTGCTAGCTATCTCGATCCTGGCGGGCGCCAGGACAGGACACAAATTGAAATCTTGTCCTGCCCTGTTTTTGTCCTGTTAATTTTTCTGCCTTGCCGGACGGCAGGACAAGGCGTCACGATTTCTGCCGTTTTTCTACCAATTAAATCCGTTTTCACAGGTTGTAAAATGCCAAGAGTGAGTTTTACTTTTACTTTCATTGTACAAAGCAAATATCATCAATTAATATTTTCTAACTAATGCATTTTATATAGTTTTCAAGAAAAAAAAATATTAGAGATGAGCACCGGGCACCAGGACAACAGGACCGTCCTGTCTTGTGCTCATCTCTGATCTGGATCATCAGTTTCATTGATTTAAGTTGTTTCATTGATTCTTATTGAATAGTGATGATCTTGATGGACTGATCTGTTTTCACATTTGACTTCTTATCTTCATTAAACAAAGAATGCTCTATGTATCTCCACGAGAACTGGAAGAACCTTTTGATCTTAAGAATTCTGAAGTGTATCCTTAAAGAAAGCCTGTTTCTATGAGTGACATGAAATGCTCATGTAATATATACAAATTTAAATTTGGATTATCTTTTTGACAGTTCATAAATACCAAGTTTTTATCACACTAAAACATTGTAATAATCAATTTTCAGTATATACTTACAACTTTATTTAGTTCTTTTGACTACTGGTGATTCCATATTATAAGTTTCAGTGCTGCCACCTTATGAAGTCCAAAAATCAGAAAATCATTTGAAAAAGCAGAAAATGACAGAAATTTTACAAGGGGGGAACAGCTGACTCCATGACTCCACTTGACTCCACTTGACTCCACCTGACTCCACTTGACTCCACTTGACTCCACCTGACTCCACTTGACTCCACTTGACTCCGCCAGACTGGAGTCTGCAGTCTCTCTCTTGGAATTATTTTCCAAAAACAGAACAAAAATGTTCTGTTTTTGGAAAATAATTCCCATAACAGAACAAAAGTGTTCTGTTTTGGGGAATTACTTCCAAAAACTGAACGCTTGCATTGTTATAGGGATTA